CCCCAAAACCCCAAAACCCCAAAACCCCAAAACCCCACAGCTTAAATTATATTTAATTTTAGTGGTTCAATTAATTGATTAAATATTATCTTTTTTTACAAGTGAATCAGTATGATTTGCAATTAACAAAAATTGATTATTTCCATTTTCATCAATATTTTATGTCGATTATTACTATTGACACTTTACTTATTTTTCAAGTTTAATAGTATTATTTCCGTCATAAAATTAGAACCTGAAATTAAGACCCCATATAATTAGAGCATAACAAATGTTTATAAAAACAAAAGTTGCAATTAATGAAGTCCAAATTCCTTGCTAGCCTTGATTAAAAATCAAAAGTTGAAGTGTAGCTAACGGAGATAATAAGATTGCAAATCCAAAGAAATAAGCAATAACTGATTTTTAATATAATCCTATTCCTCTAATAATACCCATTTAAAACATTGAAAGATAATCAAGTAACAATGCGATAATCATTAAATCTATAAATTAGAGCATTTTTTCAATAAAGATTTCATCTTTAGAAAGCATTTGCACAATTTTTCCTTTACCAATAAAAATAATTAAAAACATAAACAAAGATATAGGCAAGTAAAGTTAGTATACAAATACAACATAGTTTTTGGCAGTGTTATATCTCTTTCCACCAATACTGCTACCAATTAGCTGACTGAAAGATGTCGAAACTCCGATAGCTAATGATAGTAGTAGATTATTAATCATGAATAGTGTAATTAAAACAGTTTACTCAATCATCCCAATATATGCTGAGAGCAATATGATGTATTAATAACTCCAAAATTTAAAACTACCCATCATAAAATTATAAAATCCAACTTTTATCAGAGTGCGAAATTTATGTCCATCAATTGACACTCCAATTGAAGTTAAAGATACAACTGGTTAAAAATAGGTTAGCACCATAGAAAGAATGTAATTTATTATATATGTTGATGATGTAGCAATCGCAGCTCCAATAATTCCCATATCATAATATTCTATCAAAACTCTTGCTGTAATGTAATGTGTAAATGAAGTAAAAAGTGTTATTAGCATTAAATATTTTTAGAGCTTAAAGGCTTAGAGCAATCTTTTCTAGATATCAAATAAGAACTGAAACAGTAATCCAGGAATAAGAATCTGAAGGTAAGTGTTAGCTAGATTTGATGTAATAAAATCTTGCTTGAAAAATATCAAAATTGAATCGCTAAACCATAGAATTAACGAAAGCGGTAGGAATGCAGAAATAAGTATAATTCTAGCAGTGTTTAAATATTAACCTGCAAGACTGTATTATTTTGAACCATGACATTAATTCAAAAATGTTTCTAAGGCACCATTCGTTCCAGCCATTATGGAAAATGGCATTAAATTAAGGAGAGCAGTTGATAATCCCACAGCATTGACTTCTTCAGTTGAAGCATATACTCCAAGTAATTAAATGTTTATAATATCTGGAATCATTTACAAAAATAGCGCTATAAATGATGGAATTGCAAGAGAAAAAACATTGGATAATCTTGCTTTAAACTCATAAAATTTAGCTTTGTCCCGCATTTGTAATCTGATAATTATATTCTAATTTAAAACTGATTCATTATTTCGAGATTAAAGTTCTATGGGGTTTTGGGGTTTTGGGGTTTTGGGG